ACAAGTATTATGTTTTCCACGTGCACTGTCAAGCGATGATTGATATACGTAACAAGGCTTTCAAGCTGCCACTGTAACCTTATGTCTGTAACAATTATGTTTTAATTGTATCCACTATACCTATAGGTTGCTGTTAAAGTTTCTTATTAATGCGAAAAGCAGCTTGTTGCTCGATCTCCAGTTCTGTGCATATGATGTGCATGTAATGTACATATGATGTGCATATGGTGTGAATATAGTTATATGGTGGTGACGTCACAGGTGATGACGTCATTTTCTGATTTCGAAAAGAGAGCTGTGAGCTACGGATTTTTTAGGTTGGCTTAGATTTGTGAGCATATCATGTGGCTAAATGCTTTGAATTTTTGTTCACGGAAGGTAAAAGTGCTTGAGTTGGGTTTTTATTTCGTCATCTCTTTGATAAATTTCTTGGAAAGGTTGTATACTAGGTTTTAGAGCACCATACAATTTTCAATAACTTAATAAATCTCGTTCATCTCAATTATCTCGCTTTCTTTCTTTGGTATATTATCAAGCACTCGCGTGCTTACAAGTCCATTGTTAGTTTGTTGAGAGAAACACAAAAAGGGATGGAGTGGATCATCACTATCTTGTACATGTGCTGCAGATCGCTAACTTTTCCTTCTCCCTCATCTGCTACAGCTACTATTGGTGGTGGTGATGATGACGATGATGATTATGAAGTAAAAAATAATCTCAAAAATCTAGAAGAAGACATGTGAACTTTATCTCGAAGAAGAAAAGAATGCTCTCATTAAATTGGCAGGGTCCACAAATACGCAGTTCAACATTCCTAAGGGCTTGAGTAACAGACTACAAAATCACCAAGCTCTTCTGCTCGTGGAAGGAGGAAAAGTCAAAGACATTAAAAAGATAATTAATTATTAAATTCTATCGTTAATGTATTTGTAATTGAAGATCAACTCAAACAAGTAATCCTCATCACAATCAATCAAAGATACTGCCATCAAATCCCAAGACATTATCTCATAATTAAAATTTTTGGGATTATTCCTTCCTCATCTATCCTACGGATGACAAACCTTGTCAATGGGAAGCCACCATGTGTAGGGCAAAACCCTAACCCTATAGTCGGCCACTTTCCTATAAATACCCTATCTTTACTAATTTCTGGTAAGTTGTTGATACGCATTTAAACCCTAAACTCTTTATTTTCAAAGAAACTGACTTAGGCATCCAAGAAACTGACTTAGCCAAACGCGTTTTGGGGCGAGTCCAACATGACTCGCACGGCACATGTATCTGGCTTCAATTGTTAGTGCTCCTTAGGTCCCACTATTAATATAACTTAAGAAATTATAAATTAAAATTATCTTTCTTAAGAAAAAAAATCTTTGCATTTGTTGTTTCCTGTTATACAATTCATGAATTTAATACATTTTTATTCTAGTGGTATTCCTCTGCATTTGTAAGTGAGAGATCTAAGTCTAATTCTCACCAGATGCGAATTTGAACTACATTATTGCTAGCCCAATGTGAGGCTAAGCCTGCCCTCCTCCCATTCGTGTAGATAATATCGTTTATTCAAAGAAAAATTTCATCCAATTGGTATTTAGAGTAAATTCACAATCAGTAATGAAAGCGAAATGTTGAGTTTCTTCTCAAGCAAAGTTTCAGAGTAAATTCACTATGTTTTTTCAGCTCATGTAATGTTTTTGTCAAGTTTAGGTTGTAACCCAATCAATAAGAAAGTGAAAAGCAGAATAGTTTTATATTGAATGTTAGTTTTGATCCATTTCTAAAAATCCTATGCATGGTACAAGAAAATCATCTTTTTGGCAGCAAAGAAGAAAGAAGGGTGAAGTACTGAACAACAACGTGAAATGTTGGAACATAGAAAACAAGATTATTATTATGTTTTTTTTTCTGAGTTTTATAACTATATGAACGGCTTTCTATAAAACTTATCATTTGTTCTTTATTGAACTAAAAATGTAAAAGAATTTTGATATGGATGTAAATAAATTTTAACATAACCCACACATTTAACAAAGTTTTAAGGCCCCGTTTGGGATTGAAGTGATTTTAAAAAAAGCCACTGTGAAAAAAAGCTGAGGGTCATTTTTGTGTTTGGTAAATTGAAAAAAAAAGGCTTATTTTGGAAGCTGCTGTGAGAATAAGCTGAAAATCAAAGGAAAAGCTGAAGCTGCTATTTGCTGCTTTGAAAAAAAGCCAATTTTTTCAAAGCACACGGAGCTACAGTGCTCCTTTAATGAAAAGATACACTATCATCCTGCTTTTTTTTCCAAAAGCACTTTCATAAAAAAGTTTACCAAACACTCTACTGGCTTTATTTCACAGCCGCTTATTTTCACAGCACAGCCGCTTATTCTCACAGCAATTTTTTTTCAAAGCACAGCAATACCAAACCAGCACTAAACTCGTGACATTGTGCGAGTTCAGTTACTTTTTTTATACTTAAAGCGCATTTAAAAAAGGTATGTACTGATGATGATGTTCCTTTGAAGGGGGGCCTATTAATTGGCTATTGTGTTTTGCCACTGCCGTGCACTTTTGACTAGTGAGTATTCAGCTAGCTTTTACTAAAGGTACTGGACTAGTGATGATGTTCCCTTAATTTGTCTTTCTTCTTCATTTCCATTTTTTCTTCATCATCTCTTTTGAATATTTTCTTGCACTACTACATTTTACTAATTGCGTGACGAACAATGTTGGTCGTGCAAAATGTATTTTCGTCGCACAAAAGTCTGCGCGACGGAAACTTAGTCGCTTAAAGATCGTAAAGAAAGACTTTGTGAGATGAACAATAACATTGGTCGCAAGAACACTGTGCTACGGTTTAGCCTTCGTTGCACAAAATTTTTAGGAACGAATGTGTTCGTCTCACAAAATACCGGGATACAAACGTGGGACGACTAATATTCGTCTCTCGAAACTTTGTGCGACAACAGTTTAATCTTGCGCGATGAAACCTTGTTAGTCGTTAGAATTTTGTGAGACGAAGGTATTCGTTGGCAAAAAGATTTTTTTTTTTAAATTTAATTTTTTGTTGTTTTTTTTAATTTTGTAATAAAATTAACTTGCAATTAAAAAATGTAATGAAGAGAAAAAATAATTTATTTAAATTAATTTAAATGTATGCACAAGAAAAATGTTTAAAAAGTAAGGGAGTAAAAAATTAAGAAAATAATGTAGCATAATCTACGGGGTCATCCTTTGAAGGCGGCTGAAAGGTCTTGAGGTTGGGGACGGGCTTAGAGGTCGAAGGGGCAGAGTTGTGGGCATGCTCGGATTAGAGGGACTCGGATGTCGACGGGGGACAAAGATTCTGGAGACGAATGCTAGACTGACTGAGAGCTTGTACAATTTGTGACAACTGGCTCTTATACAAGGCGAGCTCCTTCCTAAGGTCAATCACCCTTGCTGTCAAAGACTCTTTGACTGCGATGATGAAGAGGCTCTATTTTCCCGCCGTCGGGCATTCCCCATCCCCGGCCTTCGCCCGAGAGTTTGATCCAAGGTCTCTATAAGGATCTGAAACCCTACATCCTCTGGGGGATCCACAGACTCGAGCGAAGTTTTGGGAGGAAACTGAGAGGTTGACTCCTGAAGAACTAACTGCCTCTTCTCCATCATCGTCGTCTGTGTAATATAACATAAAATATTAATAATAACATTCAAATAATAACCATGATACTTGAATGCGTAAGATAGTAATTACAATTAAAGAATACGTACATGAACTGACTCGGCCAACTCATCCTCGGGTCGAACATAAACGTTGTTGAAGACATTGATCCCCGGGAATTTTGAACCCCCCTGAATAGAAGAAGAGAAGAAAAATGTTAGTACGAAAAAAAAATTAATATTATTGACTTATTAAAAATTGAATATGAAAAACTTTATTATTACCTGCCGCCGCGCCTCCATCCTATATTGAACAATTAAGGCCATAAATAGAAGGCGGAGTGCATATGGTGCAAAATGGTGTTCAATAATCACTTCCTATATACATGTTACCTTACCCTTACATTTACAATATGTATGCGTACTCTTGACTACTAGGTCAAGACCAATATGTAAGGTACTCTCTTCCCTTGACAAGATCTAATGCATACTCTTAATAAAACATGGCGTTCTATGCATTAATTTCTTTTTCTTTGGGATTTGTTTTGGAGTCAATAAAAAATAGAGAGGGATATATTGATCTTATTGGGGTCATATGATCTCAATGACGCCACCCTCCCTCAGCTAGTGTATGTACCCTTATTTTGTCTTTCTTCGTATGAACGCATTGAATTTTTCTTCGGAAAAGATAAGGTCACTGGTTTGGGTAATTTCATTTCTTCCTTTTTTTTATTGGATATATCCGTCGGATTGGCCGTAGCATTATAGAACTTTTGTAACTGTGCAAGTCAAGTCAACTAGTACAATTGCTTAATCAAACTGATCTACTCTCTGCGGGAAACTACTCTCTCCTCCCTTGATCACCACAGAAATAGAGATAACAAACCAACCAATTGGATTATTAATGAATAACTACTAAGTTCCTTTTAGTTTGATTTCACCGTATTATGGTGGTGAGATTGGTAGTAGTAATGATTGTATAATATCTTATGGTAAAATCAAACTAAATGTTTTTAAGACTATTATTGATTATCCATTAATAATTCAATAAGTTGATTTACTACATGTGCTCGGAAAGTGAGATTTCAAATCTTAAGCAATCCCCGTTGGTGAACAAGTATATTTTTAGACCTCTATAATTTTGTAGTGTGAAATTCACTTTTTTCTGTATTTATTTGGAAAAATCATAGAAATGTAGTCAACAGAAACTGCTTGAAAATTCCTAGAAAGAAATTGGTCACTAATTAACTAATTAGGAAAATACAAAACCGTGTGCGCAAAGCGCGTAAAGGGAGGCCCTATCCCTCACTCCCGTGCTCCGAACTTCTATTTTAAATGTGGAAAAGGTTTTATTTTTCTTTTGTATTTAAGCCTCTGGATAGGAGTCCCCATTATCACTTATAAAGTTTTTGCATCTTAATTGTTTTGGATATTACTTTGAAGGTTAACTTTTCTTATTTTGAAGGTGGAGAAAACAAACAAGCCCTTGTCAAATTGGTAACTTGTGAGAGGTTAGTCAGTGTTTATTGATACTGTTTAAGGCTCTTTCTGTATTTTTTTGTCATTTCCTTTTACATAAGTTTAGGTGTTATGCTGGCATTTAGCCTGCTAATTAATTTTTGTTATGTCTGCTGTTAATTTCTTCGCTGGTGGCCTGTCACCGGATGTCACTTTGTTTTGTTTGCATCTTGATCAATTGTCTTCCTTTTGACGTTTGGATTAACCGGTTTTCTTAACAGATGTTCTGAAAATCTTCATTACTAAAGATTGAAAGAGAAAGAGCAAATGGAAAAAGAAAACAACCAAGAGAACAGAAAAAACAGGTCTCAAGATGATTTTGCATAATCTGATTTATGTTTTTTGACTGTACGAAAGATAACCAAAACTTCACTCGCAGGAATCGATCAGGTGACGATGATGATACTGATTGTGAGGGGAGCAAAGCAAGGATAAAAGGTTTTCACTTATATCATTTTCTGGTTTTCAAATACCAGTAGTTTTACATGTTGAGATTGCAAATATATGAATATATATCTTTCTTTAAATTAGAGGTTTTTTAAAGATAATATGTGCCTATCATGTGCACCATTTTCTACTTTCCATGAACTTTGTTTCTTGAACAAGTTGTAATCACGACGATGATCCTCTAGGAATTTTAATGGACATGTAGTTTATTAGGACAATATTTGTGTACTCACTAGTGAGTACTCATCTTTTGATTTTGGCCAAATATAAATAAACACGAGCGATTGGAGGGGATTTCAGAATTCTTCTCTGCCTCCAAATCCATGGTGTTGTTAAGTTTTGGGATGCCTCGACGATGGAGTTGGAGGGTGTCTCAGGTGGATTTGATGATCTTGGTAATGGTGGTTGTGAAGTCTCAGGGGCTTTGATGATGAAGATGGAGAGGAAAGTGGCGGCGGTGAAGGGGGAAGCAGGCTGTGTCATTTTGGTGTGAGAGAAGAGGAGTGTTTGGATAGCAAAGTATTGATGTTCGGCTTTTAGTTCAAAGATTTTTAAAATGAAACGTGGCTTTATCTTATTAGTCCACCTAATAGGTCAGTAAAATTGAAGTTCTCCCTGGGGAGTGTCCCTTCAGAGCGAGTCCACCGAGGCTTGCTTTGCCCAGCACCCAGTCAAAAAAATCCACTGAGGGTCTGTCCATTCACTCTAGCCCACAAAGTTGCCTCACACTCATCTCAAGCCAGGCAACAGACGAGCCCATTTAACAGACCCAAGAGCCGGCCTATTTGGTTGGCGCGTGCACGACACTCGCGCCCAGGCCGAGTAGGCGACAAGGTTGCAAAGGGCTGTCAGCCCACTTGTGCTCCGGAGCCCCATTAGTGCTGCGGCATGCTCATAGCCGTTGGATTTCCAACGGTTAGTTTTTCTAAACCGTTGGATTTCCAACGGTAAAAAAATTTAAATTTTACTTTTAAAGTAGGCCGTCCGATCACAGATCAACGGTCCACGATAATTAACTAAATTAAAATTTATTAAAAAATACAGAAAAAATATTAAAAAATACAGAAAATTAAATTTTTTTTTCTTCTATAAATACCTAACTCTCATCTTCCACTTTACACCACATTTCAATATTTTCTACACTTTCTACCAAAGCTTTCATATACTTTTTGTGTGAAAAAAAATACCAAAAAACTTGTGGTTGAAGAGTAAAGTGTATTTGATGAGTTTATGTAATTTCATTTTAGTGTTTTTTTTTATAGTTTATTTGATGAGTTTATGTAATTTTATTTTAGTGTGTTTTTTTTTAAGTTTATTTGATGAGTATGTAATTTTATTTTAGTGTGTTTTTTTTTAAGTTTATTTGATGAGTATGTAATTTTATTTTAGTGTGTATTTTTTTTAAGTTTATTTGAAATTTTATCTGAAATTGATTAAAAATCTTATCCGAAATAAACTTAAAAAAAAAAAAACACACCAAATAAATGCGCTGGGTGCCACCTCATTTTTTTAGAAGTGGAGATGCCTTGACCTATTACTGTTTACTCCAGTCTATTATTGTTTACTTGAGTGGATAAATGCGTTAGGTGCTGGCGCAAAGTCCTTAGAGGTAGATTTGTCCTTAAAAAAACAAAGAACGCGTGTTGATTGGGTGGGTGATTGGGTGAGTACATAGAATAATTACAAGCGAGTACTTAAATAGTATTTTAATTATTTTTGTACAATACCTCAGTTCAGTAATCATTAATGAGTATCTAAGGATTATTCCATTTCGACAAAAATAGAGCTTGGAAAACCAGCAGCCACGACCCAATCAACTCCTCCCCTCACACTACCAGCCTCCCCCTTGATCTCTCTTCCTTCCCTTTACTCTTCTTATTAGGTCGATGACTCCTGAAATCAAGTCTATTGAATGGGAAGGACCTTGCTTTTCAAAATCAGACTCGACCAAAACCGGTTTGGACGTGGGCTTTCTCGATTTCAATTAAAAAAATTCAAATGCATTAGATGGTTTTATCTTCAATTACACCCAGTATTCCCAATCTGCATCCTGAACTAATAAAGCACCAACAAGTGCGTCACCTAGATGCTACACTGATGTGTCGGGTGTTGGTTAGTCGTTGTCAAGATTAAATTGCTTTGGATGCTCTTCTGGTCAAAGATGAAATCAGTAGATGGAGCAACAAAATTAAATTTGCGTAAGGCCGGGAAGGGGGCCTATTGGATTTGGCTTCTATGTGCTTGCCACTACCATAAAGCGCCTAGTAGCACTATCAATTATTAAATATTTTTTTAAGTATGTGAAAGTGACTAATCCTTGTCTATCTGGAGCGTTTGTAACTCTGCAAAGGACTACAATTTCAATTTCATTTTTTTTTGTCTTTTGGTCATAAACTCTGATCTAGTCTCAGGTGCATTGTAGTCTCAGTTGCAGATTGTTGACATTTTCTTTTGCGGCTGATTCTGCTGTAGCTGATTCTACTGATGTTGCTGATGATGATGCTGATATTCCCCCTCATCTAAAAGAGTATGATGTGTTTATCAGCTCCAGTGGTAAGGACACCCGCCTAGGTATTACCAGCCATCTTCAAGCTGCCTTACTTCAGAAGAAAATTAAAACCTACACCGATAATACGCATCTTCGGAGTGGAGAAGAAATTGTACTTGCCCCTCAGGAAGCAATTAAGAAATCCACGATTTCGGTGATCATTTTCTCACAAAACTATGCTTCTTCCACATGGTGTTTGGATGAGCTTGTGCATATACTCAAATGCAAGGAAAGATACCGCCAGGTGGTCGTACCCGTATTCTACAACATCAATCCATCTGATGTACAAAAACAACACGGGAGTTATGCGGATGCATTTGCTCAGCACCAAAAACGTTTCAAGGACAGTATCGAGACGGTGCACAAGTGGAGGGATGCTTTGAAGACTGCAGCCAATCTATCTGGGTTTAATTATTCAAACAAATCCGGGTAACTAACTCTTTCTTTAACTTGTTTCAAGTCATAAATTTTCTTTAAACTTGTGACAGTTTGATTTGTGTTAAAATTTGGTAAAGCGTATTTGAGTCTAACTATTGCTTTTTTCTACATAATCACACGTATATATGCCAGGAAGGAGGCAGATCTAATTAAGAATGTTGTCCATCATATTTGGACCAAATTGATTTGTGAATCATCATGGGATTTAGAGGGCCTGGTTGGAATTAAAAGCCGCATCGAGCAAATTGAAGAGCTATTGGGCATTCATTCACCGAACGCTTGCATCACTGTAGGTATTTGGGGCATGGGTGGTATTGGCAAGACCACCCTTGCTGAAACTATCTTTCACAAACTCTCCTCTAAATTCGAAGCCTCTTGTTTTCTTAGAAATGTGAGGGAGAGAGGACAAAAAGATGGGCTACAAAACTTGGAAAATGCACTTCTCAGTGAGATATTAAAGGAAGAAGGTCTATCCATAGGATCAACTTTTGTTCGAGAAAGGCTCAGCCGTACAAAGGTCCTCATTGTTCTTGATGATGTGAGTGATTCAATGCAAATGGAACGTTTAGTTGGGAATCGTCTTCGGTTTGGCACTGGAAGTAGAATCATTATCACAAGTAGAGATAGGGGCACTCTTAGGCAAACTGTTGAAGAGGACAAGATCTACGAGGTTGAGGGTTTAAAACTGGGCGAAGCTCTTGACCTCTTCCATTTGCATGCTTTCAAGAATAACAGTATTCGTAGAACAGATTGTGAGGAGTTGGCAGAAAAGGTCGTGGATTATGCTGGAGGACTTCCTTTAGCTATTATAGTTCTGGGGTCCTTTTTCTTCAATTGCAAGAGCAAAGAAGACTGGGAAGATAAATTCAACAGAATTGGAAAATGGCTCAAGAATAATATCCAGCAAGTGTTGAGCATAAGTTATGATAGATTGGATAAAAATGCAAAGGAGATATTTCTGGATATAGCATGTTTTCATAAAGGGAGGCATGTGGACGAGGTAAAAAGAATGTTAGATGTCCGTGGATTATTTGGAGCAGCTGGAATTAAAGTTCTCGTTGATATGTCTCTCATATCAATTCATTCAAAATGGGGAATCATAGAGATGCATAATTTGCTTGAAGAAGCGGGAAGGACAATTGTTAAGGAGCAATGTATTGAAGATCCTGGTAAACGTAATAGATTGTTCAACGACGAAGATGTTTACCATGTATTGGAAAGTAACAGGGTAAGAATCAAATGCATTCAATTTTTTTCTTTTCTATTTTTAGGAAAAACAAATAGAGAACTTTAGATGATAAATATAACAAAGTAAAACTCATTTATAAGAAAGAAGACATATTCTTAAAAAAAAAATTTTGATTGAATTTTGATTGTGTTAGGAAATTCAATCTTAGATTCCTCTACATATTAACATATTAATATATATTCAAATTAAGACTCTGCTCTTATTGTCAGGAAATTCCAAATGTTCAAGTCATATCGGTTAATTGGTATCAGTTTAAAGAGCGACCATTGAAACGTGCAGACTTCAGTAAGATGCCTAACCTAATGATGCTAATTGCTTTTAGCAGTGATGTGTTTGGCAATTGCTTCAAATTCACCGCTTCTCTAGACCTTCCCGATTCACTTCGTTATCTTTACTGGTGTCAATATCCTTTGGAATCTTTGCCGTCAAATTTTTCTCCGGAAAATCTAGTTGAGCTTCATATGCCATATAGCAATGTTAAGAAGCTTTGGAAAAAAGACCAGGTATAATATATGCCTATTTTAATTCTTGTATAAAATGAAGTGTAGAAATTATAGTAATTCCTAATATTCTTTAATTTGTTGCAGAGACTTGCGAACTTAGAAGTTATCGATTTGCACCACTCTAAATATCTAACTGACGTTCCAAATCTCTCTGGGAGTCTAAAAATTATGGACATAGATCTCTTTGGCTGTGAAAGTTTGGTTGAAATTCCTTGGCATTTTCAACAGCTTGACAAGCTTACTTGTCTTGATCTTGGAGGTTGTGCCAGTCTGAAGTATCTTCCAGAGATGCCAAGAAATATTAAATACTTGGATTTACATGACTGCACATCTCTTGGCTAGTTTTTTGAGCTTTCCATGAATGCCAAATTTGTACTTTGATAGCAAATAGGCAAGGCTTTTATTATTGTAGGAGTGCATTTTTGCTCACTGTCCTTAAGTGATGGTAATACTCACCATCTTATTTATCATCGTTAGATGGGTTTGAATTTTAAGATTTATGTCTATCCACTACACAAATATCGAAATTTAAACTCATCTAATTGTGATAAATACGGTGGTGAGCATACATCATATTTTATGGTGATGAGCAAAAATGCTCCCTTATTTTAGTATTGTTTATACATTATAAAACGCAAGTTATGGACAAATGTGGAATATCCTATTTGTTATCTTTAAAACTTGATTTACAAATCCAGCAACATCTTAAAATTCGCTTTTATATCATAAACTTAGACGTTAATTAATATGCCAAGCCTAAGGCAAAGTGAAAATCTCACGACTGAACGCGATAGTTTGAACATTCGTCACTACAAAAATATGTGATAGTGGGACTGCAATGAGTGTATCTTTAATCTTACTAATATCAGAGATGATAAACATGTTTTTTTTTTTTTTTGGTAAAAGATGATAAACATGTTAGAAGTGTGTAATTACAAGGACTTCGTAGAGATTTTGAATACACTAGGATGAGAGATGATGAATCCCTTTCTGTGTATCTTACTCGCTTGTTTGATATCACTAATCAAATGAAAAGTTATGATGAGGAGTTATCCAGAGAAAGAGTAGTGTAGAAATTGCTTATTAGTTTGCCTAGATCCTATAACTCGATATGTTCTGTGATTGAACAGTCCAAAAGTTTGGATACACTAGAAGTGCAGGAGGTCGTTGCTTCTTTGAAAGGTTTTGAGCAACGATTGGACTGGCATTCTGATAGCTCCATTGAGAGAGCCTTTGCTAGTTTAAATGTGGGACCAAAGTACCTTAAAACTAGTGGTTTTTTTGGCAGTCAAAAGGTTGGGAAGAACTGGAAGAATATGGGGAAGAAATAGGAAAATAAGCCTAACTTTGCACCCAAACAAGTTGCAGGACAAGATTCTAACAAGAATGCTTGTAAGCACTGTGACAAGCTGTATTATGGCAAATGTTGGTTTGAAGGAAAGCCAAAATGCACTAGCTGTGGCAAGCTTGGTCAGGATGCTAGAAACTGAAATGGAAATAAAATGGTGCAAAAAGCCAATTATGCAAACCAAGTGAATGAACCTAGAACTCTCTTCTATGCATATAATGCAGTCACTAAGGTGAAAATCTACAACATATGGTATATTGACAGTGCTTGTGGTAAGCATATGATAGGAAATGAAAAATTATTGGTTGATGTGAAGAAGAACCTCACTGTCAGAATGAAGATAGGAACTGGTGAAATTGTAAACATTGCTGGCAATGGGACTAGTAATTGAAACCAAACTAGGCTGAAAACACATTCAAGATGTGCTTTGGTGCTTGAATTAGAGGAGAATCTTTTAAGTGTGGGTCAGATGAGGGAACATGGGTATTATTTGTTATTTGGTGGAGATGTAGTCAATATGTTTGATGGATGGAGCATGGACAATCCAATGGTTAGAGTACAAATGACTGATAACAGGTGCTTTCCACTAAGGATGGTTCCTGCAAACTCCATGGCATTGAAGGTTAGTGTTCCACATGATTCACAGTTATGACACAAAAGATTTGGTCACCTGAATGGAAGAAGTCTCACTTTACTTGTAGAACAAGAAATGGTTCATGGTCTACCTTCACTAGAGGAATCAAGTGCAGTGTGTGAGCGTCGTATGCTTGGCAAACATCATATAGATGAGTTTCCAAGGTTAGCTACTTGGAGAGCAAAATTCCTTATGGAATTGGTACGCATTGATATTTGTGGACCAATGCAAATTGATTCAAATGTAGGAAACAAGTATTTCTTGTTATACACAAATGACTACACAAAAATGACTTGGGTTTATTTCTTGATACACAAGTCAGGAGCATTTGAATGCTTCAAGAAGTCTAAAGCTATGACTGAGTTACAAACTGGATAGAAGGTGAAATGTCTTTAAACTGCAGAGGGGGTGAGTTCATGTCTAATGAGTTTACTGTATTCTACAATACTACTGGAGTACAAAGACAATTGACCATGGCATATACTCCACAACAAAATGGTGTTTCTCAGATGAAAAATTTGAACTGTTGTGGAGATAACCAAGGCAATGCTATATGAAAAGAACATGCCATATCATTTCTTGGCTGAAGCAGTGCATATTGCAGTCTATTTGCTGAATAGAAGCCCTACTAAGGCTTTAGATAGGATAACACCATTTGAAGTGTATAGTGGATAGAAACCAGGAATTGCACATCTCAAGATCTTTGGCTCACTGCGCTATGTGCAAATTCCCCCAAACTTGAGACACAAGCTACATAGTAATAGTCACAAGTGCATCTTTGTTGGCTATGGCACTAGTGAGAAGGGTTACAAATTTTATGAACCTATCTAAAGGAAGATTTTACCCTATAAAGACGCGGTTTTTTATGAAGATACTGGAATCTCATTTTTAAAAAGAATTTCATTTTTAAAAAATCTCCTAACAAGTATGAAATAATAAAGAAACGCGCTTGGAGTAGCATTTGGTCACTTTTCTTTTCCTACTGCCCATAGGGGTGGGTTCGGTTCCGTTTGGTTCGGTTTTTGGCCGAAACCGGAAACCAAACCAAAGTTACTGTTCAGTTCCGTTTTTCTTTGGTTTTTTTCAGTTTTAGTTTTTTTCTGTTCGGTTTTTTCCATGAATTTTTTTTTAAAATCTGGATATTGGTAAACTAGCCCAAAAAAGAGGACCTGCCAAACTAGCCCAAAAGACCCAACAAACAGTACAAGCCCAAGCCATAAAATACAACAAAAGAAAACCTAAGGCTTTCATTGCAGCACCCGCCGCCGAGCATCCCTACTAGCACAAACCCTCGCCACTAACCATCCGACGCCTCGCCGATTGCAACAGCCAGCCACGAGCACCTGTCTGAACACAGCCAAACAGACGAGAACCAAGGGTTTAATAAAAAGTAAAGATCCAAAAACCAAAGATATTTACCACATGGGGCTCCACAAAGAAAAATCCAAGAACAACATCAACCAATTTTTCCTTCAAAAATAGCATAGTCAACAAATAAATTCATCACTTAACCTTGAAAATAAACAATTGGGACTCGTTGGTTTATTCGGATACAAAATTATGAAATGAACTAATACTAATCTTCCTATGATCATATGCCATGATAAGTTACTATAAACACATAAGAACAAGCAAAGTAAAAGTGAATGCATAAGCAAATTTCATAAAAAAACAAAACAAAAACAGAACCAACCTGCTGCATTAACAATCACTACGGCAATCTTGGAGTGAGCATCACAAACCCTATGCCTCTTGTGGTAATCCTTTGAAAAGGTGAGATCCATGTTACAGCAGAGCCGAAACCCTAGGAGAGATAGAGAGCGAAGATGAAGTACAATCCCTACAGCTGTTAGGAAGTGATCACCCATTGCGGATTAACCAAGCATGATCACTCCTAAGCATACATGGCCATAAGGATCGCCTAACGTGGATTAACCAAGCACGATCCATATATAGTATGGTCCCCTAATGTGGATTAACCAAGCAGGGTCAAGATAATCAAGTATGTAGTGACCCTCCAATGCGGATTAACCAAGCAGAGTCACACCTACATAACTATTAGACAGTGATCACCCAATGCAGATTAACCAAGCATGATCACCCCTAAGTATAAATGGCCATAAGGATCGCCCAACGCGGATTAACCAAGCACGATCCATATATAGTATGGTCCCCCAATGCGGATTAACCAAGAAGGACCACTAATGACCCCCTATCGCGGACATACCAAGCAGGGTCATGGTCTCCTACTAGCCCTCAATTTAACAACCATTCCAATATGCAATTCAATTCACTTTTCCAAAAATATTATCAATCCAATTTACTTCACTTCATGATGATTCACAACATAACTATATTTCTCACATAACTTCCTCATTACTCAAAGAACTTAGGGAATAATGCAATACCAATGCAAATCATAATTTCTATTAATGAGATGTTTCATAATCACCATGGAAATTTCACCACAAACACAATGCAATTCATATATGTCTCTCAAATATATATGTGTCCATATATCACATGAATGCATCTTTATACCCAAAAATTATGAAATCATGCAACCACAATGCATATCGTAATTCACGCCAACAAAACTCGAGATGGTTGTATATCATAGAGTAGGATCATTTGCTCTGATACCATTAAAATTGTCACGCCCCGATCCTAACATATGTCCAGGATCGACACGTGACGTCACCAAATACCCGTATCTCTAACATACCCCGCCTCCGGAATATGGCAAATCGCAACTCAAGAATCGGATCACATAATAATTTTCCGTATACTTTATGGCTACATCTAACCTCCTCGTTAGACTGCCTACGTACTCGCATTAGGGATCAAGCCATTCGTAGTTCATCACTCCACTTCAATCGAACATTCAACACATAGACCACTATGTCTCAACATAATACCATAATTCAATCATGTAGCACCTAAAAAAAAAGGAACATTTGACAAAGCACAATAATACTTTTTAGTCATCTTGTTAATCATCCACCCATATGCGTTCCAACAACATCCAATTATCACATCAATCATTAGAACTTGACAAGCATAAAAATTCCTAGACTCAAGGTAACATAACAAACCCACATAAAAAAATCAAGATTTCCCTTCCATCCTTCATATAATCATTATGACTCAACAAGATATCTCAATTCACAACATACATCATATTTAAGAACCGACAACGCACAAAACCATTCTCTAGCCACATTAATTAATTAATATGGTCAAAATAATAACAATCATTCCCATATCTTCTAAATTCATAAACTATGAAATCATAATTGAATCGTAGAAAATCTCGAAGGAAACCCACGGACGTATAACCGCTTTTATAATTCAATTCATCACATTCTCAAAACCATTATTCACAATATACTAAAACGAAGGCTAGTGACACAGTTAAGCCAAACCTACTTCTCCGAAGAATGGAATTTCGGACTACTCAATGATATCCAACCTAGGATACGATTCCGGACCATCACTCAACGGAATCGTGAAGTACAATGTATAACAACCACTAACTAAAACCCAACGGGATTCCAGACCATCACTCAACGGAATCCGAGTGGATACGATTCCAGACCATCACTCAACGGAATCCGAGTGGATATCACTCAACGGAATCTGAGTGGATACGATTCCAGACCATCACTCAACGGAATCCGAGTGGATACGATTCCAGACCATCACTCAACG